TTCCAACCCCTGACATCCTGTGGTTCTGTGAGCTGGTACTTCTTTGCATGGAGTATACAGGATGTCAGTTGGGGCAGTTTGGCTTTTGAGATAAGTTGTTTAGCTCATGCTTTTGGCTCAGAGAACTGCCAGTTTTTGAGTAGAAGATTACAGCAAGGCTGGATTTGCAAGGAATCTTTTGGGGAAAAATGCAACATGGGCATTAGTAGAAAGAACATCTGTGTAGACTGAGTTCATGCTCAGCTGCTGAAACCAGCTGGTGTGTTACTGCAGAGGTGCAGTCAGAAAACAGAAATTTGGTGCTTTCCCACTTGAATATCTGTAGCTGAGGGCTATTCTTAGCTGTCTACCTCACAAACCACAGGCTTTCAGGTCTCTTTCAAACCCGGTGACTTCATGGCTGTGCAGGGTAGTGTAACACCTTTCCCCCTCTGTCGCAAGTGGGGAACGCTTGCCTAGCTACCGTTGCTGTATTTCTCATGTGTACAACCGTAACGTGATGTGCAAGTCCTGCACTCACTGGAAAATGATCCAGTGTAAAAGTCAGGAGGGATTATGAGTACTCTGAATGGTTGTCTCTTTTGCTGCAGGAATCCTCATCTTATCCCAAAGTGTTGTACCTTTCTGGGTCTTATTTTATCCCGTTACCATTGCAGTCGGAAAGCTTTTCAGGGTTCCTGTACTCCACTGGTAGCACAAAACTTTCCCTGTTTAAGGACAGCTTGAAAGTTAGATGCTCAGTGTTGAGTATTGGGATGCAGCTTTTTTGGCTTAATATTTACAGAAGCAGGTGCTACACACCCTGGGACTGAGCTAGCTGTGTAGCCGAAAGGGCTGATTCTGCAATTTCATTATTTCAAGAATGTGAAATGGGTCAAAGCTCCATGTCCTGAACATGATTTTCTTCAGTTTCAATGAAATTCGTTAACCAACCGCAGCTGAGATTGGAAATAGCATGTGAATTCCTGTTTAACTTGCTTCTGAGGCAAACTGCTGGCTAGCATAAATCACTTTACAAGATGATGGAGAGATTTGGTTGTATTTCTTATTACTATAAAAATGTTTTATGTTAAAGATCAAGAATGCAGAGGACAAGGGAGTAACCCATCTAGAATATTCCTGCTCTGCTAACTTGTTTTAAATACAGCACCCATTCACACCGTCTGTTTTGCAACTCATTTCTTGAGCTCAGCCCGCATATTCACAGCCTGAGCTGTAGCTGGGAGCCGAAAAAATTATATTTTTGCAACCTGTTTTGAATGTGAACCATACTCTCTGCTTGAGCTCTTTCAGATATCAAAATGCTGCTTAATCTGCACTGGGCTAACGTGTGCCTTTGAGGAGTTTTGCATCACCCAGCACAGGCTTCATTAATGACACCTCCTTACCCCTCTTCCACAGCCAATACAGACGAGCTCAAATTTAGAGTGTGTAAGCTGGCTTCCTGCTTCAGCTTTTTCTCTGCAGGACCCTTCTCTTTCCATGGACTGTGTAAAATTAATGTCAAGCCTATGATGTAGCTCCCAGGATTACAAGGAGCGCCGTGGTCAGCAGCGTAGGAGCTTGACCTCAGCTTACCCCAGCTCCTCACTCTCCTCAAACAGCTGCTGCCACTTGAAGTAGAGACATGACAGATGATATGCAGAGCAGAAAATCATCAAAGAGGAGAACAGATGGCTGAAGGAGGCTGCAGAGAGTGGCTGGGGGTAGGAAGACAGTAGGACAAGTTCTGGAAGGGGTTTATCATGTCTTCCAGGAGAGTTTAAGTCACCCCAGCCAGGTAACCCCAATGCCTGAAGCTGGCTGGATGAATTCTTTTCCATGACTGCAACTGAAGGGCAATGATAACTTCAAATACTTGCTAGTCCACAATTTGTCTTTGAAGCCTCTGCTTCTGTAGCAGTGAAATCATGGACTTCATCACTCAAGTACGTACCTGGGACCCAAACAGCCAAAGGCAGCATATGCTAAACACTAGGAGGTTGTTGCTGTGTGATGTCCATCATGTAGAAATATTTCATGCTTCTTGTGCTGATATTTCTTAGGGTAAATCCGGTGAAAAATTGTCAACCCCTCTTATTGAGGGTGTGTTTGTTCTCCCACGTCTCAAATGTACACTAATATAGAAGCAAACAGTGACCACACTGTTTGGTAAAAGGAGAACCAGGTAAAACAATTATTAAAATAATTGGTAAAAGATACAACTGATCAGTTAGTCTTACGTAACAAGGTGACAATTGCGTCTTTTCAATGCTTACACCTAACTAACTACTAGTTATACAAGATATCTTTTTGACGCCATCTCTACTTTTCAGATGGAAATTCTAAGTCATAGTGTGGGAGAAAGTGACTTTAAACATTTCATTCTTGTTGCTTGTGTTAATTATTGAGAGAAGATTCCCTAAGGCCAGTTTTTTGAAAAATTAGAGATTTCTGAGGAAAGAAAACTACTTCAGGTTTTATAGGGTAGTTTTATATATAATGTAGGCCAAGTAATATTCTGTATTAAGAACTGTACCTCTGTCATTTCTTTGAGAGTTACAAGATATTTTCTGAACAACACTCAGTCTTGATCTAAAATAACAAGATGTTATGGTGAATTCCTGTAAACAATGTGGCAGGTGACACATTAGTGATAAATAAGTGAATGTGGAAACTCATAATTATGCCATATTTGATCCATAGAAATATCATGAAGACACAAAGGGGGGAATTTCTCTTTGTCTTCATTATAAGAAGTTTCAAAATGAGGTGGTCGAGCTATTCAGGAAGACTAGTCAGAAAGGTATGATAAATATATGGGCTATGTTTTCAGGGTGCGTTGTTCTGTGTGATGAAAAGAGCAGCAGAGCAGTGTTACCTACAAGAAATGATCCTACAGAGAGCCTCCACAAAATACATATAATATATTCTAGCTGTAAGCTATTTTTTCTTGAATATATCCCTATTTCAGAAGCAGAAGATGCATTTGTCAACAAGGAGAAGGTGCAGAAGGAGATAAAAGCTGCACTATCAGAAAACGCCACGCTGAGCTGTGAGGTGGCCCAGGAGAAGACCGATGTGAAATGGTACAAGGAGGGCAAACTGATCACCTTGAGCAAGAAGTTCAAGGTGGAGTCGGAGGGCAAATCGCGTCGCCTGGTGGTGGGTCAGGTGGAGAAGAAAGATGCTGGGGAGTACACCTGCGAGGCTGCTGGCCAGAAAATTGCCTTCAAGATTGTTGTCACAGGTGGGAGACATGTTGGTTCTCATCACAAAAAGGTCCATGAGTTCCCCTTACTAGAGGGCAAAATGATTCTTTTGCTAGACTCTAGGGCCTCTGTAGCCTAGATCTTCCTCGAGGAGTGAGGTTGATCAGACAACCACATTGTGTGCTTCTGGTCACACAGATGCCCATAGCTAGTGATCGCTGACATGAATTCCACTCAGCAGTCCTTGTTGTTTTCTGATTTCATAGTAAACAAAAAATAGAGAGTTTACGTATCCTGTCATGAATTATATGAAAAAAAGTAGGGCCATCTCCCAGATGTGTAGGAAGACAGGTTTAGAGAAGTAAGAAAACAGACCTGCTCAAGAAGCATGTAGAGAGGGCAAGGCTTACATATGGGTTCCAATGGTGAATGAGTTTGAGTTCTTACTTGTGCATTACGTTAAGGAATAAAAAGCCATGTTTCTTGTGGGTCCATGGTTTGGGAAGAACCTTAACTGCTGGGACACTGCATCATTTTGCCTGAAACTAGCTGATGTGTTGTTTGCAGGCTGCACAGAGATTCATGTCCTATCTGAGCATGTCCTAGCCATGGGTGGATCCATTCTAAAACGACAGAGCCATGAGGAATTCTTATAAGCAGGATTTTGCATTTGGTTGTGAACATTTTGGACAGCATGAACTTAACGTGTGAATTTTAAATTTCCTTCTCCTGCCCCTGCAGAAGCAGAGGAAGCATTTGTCAACAAGGATAAAGTGAAGAAAGAAGTAAAAGCCGCACTATCAGAAAATGCCACGCTGAGCTGCGAGGTGGCCCAGGAGAAGACCGATGTGAAATGGTACAAGGAGGGCAAACTGATCACCTCGAGCAAGAAGTTCCAGGTGGAGTCGGAGGGCAAATCGCGTCGCCTGGTGGTGGGTCAGGTGGAGAAGAAAGATGCTGGGGAGTACACCTGCGAGGCTGCTGGCCAGAAACTGACCTTCAAGATTGATGTCACCGGTGAGAGATTATTTTTTTGCTGTAGCTATAAAGAAAGTTTCCTAACAACATAAATTTATGTCCAGCCTTGGTCTATATGGGTCTGTAACAGAACTCAAGTGGTTATTCTTAAAGGTCAGTATTACAGACATTTTTGAACATTATTTATTTCAAATAATGAATTCCTTTGACAGCAGAAGTTGTTGGAAAAATTACAGCAGATTCTAAACAAAACTGTGAGAGGTAGAAATTAACATAGGATCTTAGCACACTGTTTGAAGGAAGAGTGCTTCTCATCTTCTTGTGGAAGGATCTTCTCATCTGGATCTGCTGAGTGCAGCAAAGCACTGAAGTGCTTCCAGCAGTTTGTGTTTGCAATTGAGCAAGTGAGGAAAGCTTTTTACTGCAATAATGGAGGGTTGCATGAGACTTTTGGATGAAAACTCTAAGACTGGCCTGTTTTGAGGCTTCAGAGAAACAGTTGTACACATGAGAGAAAATCCTATGGCTCAGATATTGGGAGAGCCACAGAATCACAGAATGTTAGGGCTTGGAAGGGACCTCTGAAGATCATCTAGTCCAACCTTCATCCCAGCATACCTAACCACTACACCACAGCCTCAAGTGCTAGATCTACTTTTTTTTAAACACCTCCAGGTTTGGTGACTCCACCACCTCCCTGGGCAGCCTGTTCCAGTGCCTCACCACTCGTTCAGTAAAGAACTTCCCCTGAATACCCAATCTAAACTTACCCTGACGCAACTTGAGGCCATTTCCCCTTGTCCTGTCATTAGGAATTAGAGAGAAGAGACCAGCACCAGCCTCACTCCAGCCTCCTCTTAGGTAGTTGTAGAGGGCAATAAGGTCTCCTCTCAGCCTCCTCTTCTCCAGACTAAACAAACCCAGTTCCCTCAGCCGCTCTTCATAGGTCATGTTTTCCAGACCTTTCACCAGCTTTGTTGCCCTTCTCTGCACCCGCTCCAGCACCTCGATGTCCTTCTTGTACTGTGGTGACCAAAACTGGACACAGTACTCGAGGTGCGGTCTCACAAGTGCCGAGTACAGGGGCATGATCACCTCCCTCCTCCTGCTGGTCACACCATTTCTGATACAGGCCAGGATGCTGTTGGCCTTCTTGGCCACCTGGGCACACTGCTGGCACTGTGCTCTGCAGCTTGATGTGAGTGTTGACCTCACTATCACCAACCTTCTCTGCATCTCACAGCCTCGTCTTAAACCGGGATAAGTGGATAACATGGAAGTGTTTTTCATATCATAGGCTTTGAGGTGCTTGGGTACCACAGGAAGGGGAACAGGCATTTTGTCTGCAAGGTACAAATGAGTGTTGTACAAGCCCATTGACGCCGAAGAGAGGCCGCTACTCAGATTTTGCAAATTGGTAAATGCGAGAAAGGAGACCATAGAAGAACAGACTCCCTCTTGCCCGTGACAGATTTACTGGTCACTTTAAGGGCAGAAACGATAGGACCCCTTTGGGTTCTCCATCAAGATTGGCAAGGAGGTATGCTGTAGAACCAGAACAGGAAAACGATTCTTCTAACCCTAGGTCACCTTTTTTTCACCTTGTGGTTGATTAAAGATACAACTGAACAGACATGCTAACTAGACCTGTTGTAAGAAGTATACCACTCTCTTGAGGGTAATTCAAATAACTGAAAGCTCTCGCTGAAGAGAGCTGCCTAGGATGGAACATAAGGTGTGAGTGTAAGAGTCCCTCACTCCATTAGTCTCTGTGTGTAACCTCCATTGCTTTGTACTGAAGAGCAAAACATCTGCCCTTGAGCTTGGATCCAATCTAACTCTTGGAAAATCTTGTTTTATTACTGAAGTTCTTGACCCCAGAGACCCAGCTTCCCGGCAGTTCTCCTTTTTTCCACTCCTTATTTATGCTTTACCTTTTAAAGGATTTTCACGGATATTCATGTATTTTTGGCTGGCCTTGTTGATCTTTTCCTTCTTGCTCTTCCACTGGGTAAGATGTCGATTCTGAACACTTTAGTGTGAAGATGCCATATCCCACATTGAGTCTTGAACAAATTGTTCATCTTTTCTTCCTTAACCCGCTCTCATAAATCTTATGAGTTTGCTAGTTCCAAATAAGTGTGCAACAAATATTTTATTAATCCCTCTAGTTATTGTAGACTAGATCATCTTATCCCTACATCCAAGGTTATTTCCCATCCTCAGCTTCTAAAATATTGTTCTTGGAATTTACCAAAACCAAGACTAACATGAAATTACTCTTCTTAATTCAACGTCTGGCTGGTCGGAGAATTTGACAGCTATCCCATTGGGAAATCTGAGATGCTACTGGCACAGCTCCAGTGAAGGAAACTGAGATGATTATGGGGCTGGAGCATAGGTCATATGAGGAAAGACTGGGAGACCTGGATTTGTTCAGCAGAGAGAAGATAAGGCAAAGGGAGTTTTTATTGCTGCCTGCAGTTATCTAATGGGAGGATACAGAGTCTAGAGCTTGACAATTTTCTCAAAGACACGTGGTGATGGTAGAAAAGGGAAAATAAATAAGTTGGAACATGGAAGCTTCTGAAAAGATATGAGTGAAAACTTGCAGTGTAAAGGTGGTCAAGCTCTGGAAGAGGAGACTTGAGGATGTGGGATCTCCCATTGCTGGACATCCTCAGAAATCAATGGGACATGGTCCTCAGTAACTTGGTGTAATTTTATCTGTTGTGAGTGGGGAAGTGGGACTGGATGACATCCAGAGAGCACTCCTAACCTAAATTATTTTATGACTGTAAATTTCTACTATTAGTAACACATGTTCTGTGCAATCTAACCTGGACATGATGCTGTTCTGTAAGGACACAAGCCCATATAAATCTTTGTGCAGGTACTCCAGTCGTTACGCAACATCTCATAACCTTCATTTTATTTTTCCTGAAAATTATTTGGACCTAAGTATGGGGACAATGCTTACAAATGAAGGATCCTGCCTGGATTATGTCCTGTTTACTGTGAATACGCAGCCCAGGCTTTTCTGCAAGTGAGCAGAACATGCCCTGCTTCCCCAGGAGAGTTGATCCTGCTTGGCCTGCAGACAGTGACGCTACAGAGCTTGTGCAGGAAAGCTGGTGCAAACCTGAGGATGAGGCACGGCAGTTCTTTTTTTGCCACCCAGATGAGCAGCAGCCAGAAAGCGTGCTGTCCGGAAGCAAGCTGTTCCTGCCAATGCTTCCTCAAATGTTTGCTTAACTCTGACTCTCTTAACCCTTTTATTTAGAGCTTCTTTATTTCAACTGTAATCTTCCAGGTGGCCTCCTGTTGAAAACCCAGTACCATATGATCTTGGAAGAAAAGTTTTAATTTTCATAGGTTTTTTTGCTAGATTTTTCTCTCTTTCTGATCTTGCAGATGATGCCTTTGAACACAAAGACAAAGTGCAAAAGGAGGTGAAGGCAGCGCTGAAGGAGAACGCCACGCTGAGCTGCGAGGTGGCCCAGGAGAAGACCGACGTGAAATGGTACAAGGAGGGCAAACTGATCACCTCGAGCAAGAAGTTCAAGGTGGAGTCGGACGGCAAATCGCGTCGCCTGGTGGTGGGTCGGGTGGAGAAGAAAGATGCTGGGGAGTACACCTGCGAGGCTGCTGGCCAGAAACTGACCTTCAGGATTGATGTCTCAGGTGGGTGAATTTGCTGCATCTCTGGTTTACCTCCTAAAAAAAAAAAAGGTGGGAAAATGTACATGCCTTGGCAAATTCCATCTGAGCAGGCAGTGATGGAGACAGTAATTAAATTCTACTGGTTTCCTGATGTGATGGCGTTCAAACTGTTAGATCTGTTTTCCATCTTCGAAAGCTGAGACTGCAGTAGATTTCAAGAGCCTTAGGGCTGGCTGAAGATCTCAGGGGAATTTCCCTGGGAATCTGGTGGAGATGTACTGATAGCAAAATGATAATTCAATAATTGCAGGAGAAATTAAAGGACATGGAAAATCTTCTGTGCACAAACACTTTATTGTGAATGCTCTTTCCTTAAAGAGCATCTCTATTACGGAGGAATCCTTTCTATCACAGCCTCAGCCAACTGAAAGAAAATAGTAGAACTGTTCTCAGGAGCAGTAGCTGAGGAAGCCAGATCTTTTCACCACGATATTAGAAAGGACAAGTTTTAACCTTGACATCCATCAGTTGGATTTTGATGAATTTAAAGTAAGTGGAGGATTTTGTATATTAAATTGCTTTCGATTCTGGCGCAGTGGAGTGCAAAGCAAATACCCTGGGGGCTGGCTAATTTTAATTCATTAGAGAAACACAGTTCTGGGATAACACTTCTTTGGAACATTTGGGAAATAAAGATATGGATACAGAACAGGCTCACAAAGTTTGTTTGTTAAGACTTGCTTTGCTTTTGCTGATGAAGCAAAATGCAGACCTTGAGTTGGTTGGACAATTTAATGCTTGTCCTCTTAGACCAGACAGATTTCTTACAATCTGCAAACACTAGTGGGCTGCTGGACATCATGTTATGTGAACTTCTCTTTTGTAGATTTTTGGAGAATGATTGTGGTGCGATGAAAGCATTTTGGGGCCCTTTAAGCTGTCTTGGCCCTAGCAGTAAAGGAGTCCTTCACTGGCAATTGATGTTATTCAAATGTTAACACTCAGTTGGCAGGGAATGTGAATGGCAATTCTATCTTCAGCACCACAATCCAAAGACTGATTTGTGCATTTGGAAAGGGGCATGTGTATGGAAGATTAATTTTCTATATCTGCCCGCGTGTTCTTAATTCCAGAAGCAGAAGATGCTTTCATCAACAAGGAGAAGGTGCAGAAGGAGGTAAAAGCTGCACTATCAGAAAATGCCACGCTGAGCTGTGAGGTGGCCCAGGAGAAGACCGATGTGAAATGGTACAAGGAGGGCAAACTGATCACCTCGAGCAAGAAGTTCAAGGTGGAGTCGGAGGGCAAATCACGTCGCCTGGTGGTGGGTCAGGTGGAGAAGAAAGATGCTGGGGAGTACACCTGCGAGGCTGCTGGCCAGAAACTGACCTTCAGGATTGTCGTCACAGGTGGGAGAAGTTTCTTTTACCCATCCTTTCTTTTTCTAGACTATTTAGAAAAGTTAGTATTATTTCATCAGAATTTTTCCCGTTGTGCTTCAAATTTTTGGAAAATATCCCAGAGATGGCCAGGCTCTGGTTTAGAAATGGGACAAAGACTTATAAATACAGTTCTTTTCATACCTTTTGTGTAAGATTTTATAAAGCCTTTAAGACAGGGAGCTCCATCCTTGAAAATCTTCAGGAGCTACCCACCTCTGGAACAGGGCTGTGAAAAGGAAATCTCCATGTTTCCATCCCACTGTGTTAGTGAAGCAGAACAGCTCCACAACACAGCTGATTCTCAGTGGATTTTCAAAGAGTCATGGAGAATGTTAGGGTGTCTGCCTGATGTCTGCATTCTTTTTCCTTCTCTTGGAATGGATCATTTCAGCCTGGGGAAGAACATGGCAGTAAGGCTTAAGGTTTGATATAAGTTAATGTCTCTAAGGCAACAGGCAAATGGCAGCTAGGGAAGGAGTGGAGGCCCATTTCAGCTGTATTGCCCTACTGGGGCTATAGAGCAATAGAATTAATTCAACTTTCCAACTCACTTCCTGCCTCCTGTTGCTCTTGCAACTGGGCTGACTAACGTGTCTACTGGAGAACAAGAGGTTTTCACCGTTTGGATGTAAAATGCAAGATGGGCTGAGCTTTTCTCATGGTTGTGTGGGAAGTAATGGCACAGTCCTGAACATGTAATTTCTGGTCTTAGCACCCTTTGCGCAGAAGAAGGCTAACTAGTACCTATAGGACAGTAACAGCAGCAGACACAGCTATTGGGAATGAAAGAGATTAAAGATATGGGTCTGTGACACAGCAAGAGACAGTTCCTCATAGTAAGAATTCATTATTTTTCTCTCAGCTTCAGCCAAAATGTATCTTGAGTAGGGCCTACCATACAATGATCTTATAAATGGTCTAGATGGTGTCCCAGCTTGCTGCTGTGAGTGTACTGATCTTGGTGTGACTCATGACAAAGCAACTAAAAGTTTCTTAAAAACAAGCAAACACAAAAACCCAAACCCAAAGGAAACTCAGAAACTCCCACCACAAACCAGTTCGCATGTTCTATCAATAGTTTTAGATGTGTATTCACAAGTCAGAGACTTGGTTTCCAGTGTTACCTGCAAGCCATGATAAGGAGATTGGGCAACATCATATGTTGGAGACACTCTGCATTTCTCTCTTTTCAGAGCCAGAAGTTGTGTTTACAAACAAGGAGAAGGTGCAGAAGGAGGTAAAAGCTGCACTATCAGAAAATGCCATGCTGAGCTGCGAGGTGGCCCAGGAGAAGACCGATGTGAAATGGTACAAGGAGGGCAAACTGATCACCTCGAGCAAGAAGTTCAAGATGGAGTCGGAGGGCAAATCGCGTCGCCTGGTGGTGGGTCAGGTGGAGAAGAAGGATGCTGGGGAGTACACCTGCGAGGCTGCTGGCCAGAAACTGACCTTCAAGATTGATGTCTCAGGTGAGATATTTCGTATCTGAATTACAGCAGAGGATAATAAATTAATATCTTAAATAACTGTTACACAATAACTCAGTTGCAGTAGTGTAGGCTTTGTTGCACCCTGTAGGGTTGCCCTGATTTTTTTTTACTTCATTGCCTGGACTTGCAGAAACGGGAATAAATGTAATAAAAAAAATATCTACATATTAGTCAGATATCTCCCATTTCTGTATTCCCAAAGATTGTTTATTGTGTCCTGAACCCCTTGCAAGGAAAAAGCCATTCAGAAATCTGTATTTTGTTAGACTCACAATACTATTTCTGAAAACTGAGAGGCTGGAATATACATTGTCATTTGCAATTTAGGCAGCAGCACTTATTGAGATGGGTTGAGAACTCGGCACTTTTTCTGAATTTGTGCAGTCGTGTGTTTGAGAACGCAGCTTTCTGAGCTGCCCTACTTCTTGTGCCAGGTGCGAAATGTCCCTTTGTCATGAGAGACTCTCAATCATTGGTCTTGGCACAGGATTCACAAGGTGTCCCAACAGCTTTAAGCATATAATGCTCAAGGGAGTGCGGACACTGCACACAACTTTGGGTACGTGAGAACTGTAGGAGATCAGGTTTCCTTTGTTCCTTTGAAAATCATGTTTGTGACAGTGGAAGATTCCACGTAGAGCCTGTTCCCATGAGTCCATAGTGCTATATTTGTGGTCTTTCCATTTCACTGTAGGTCTTAAGTAAAAGTTATTTGTGAACTTTTGGTGATATATAGGACAAAATGTTCTTTGGGAACATTTGAATTGAGTGGTTTTTTGCCATATGGCTTGCAGCTGTAGGATTGATGTCAAGGACCTTCTTGGTCCTCTCGATTTCTTGGGTCTTGCTTCTCTAGTTTTCACATTGTGGTATCAGATCCACAGAGGGGCAGATGTTGCCCAGTGAAGGTCATCAGTTTTGACAAGTGGCAACCTAAGTATTTTCCAAATGTGTGCACAGAAATCTGTAAAGCCAGCCTCATTTAAATCCTTCAGTCAATATTTTCTCTCTTTTCTTCACTCAGAGCCAAAACCTGCATTTATAAACCAGGAAAAAGTCCAGAAAGAGGTGAAGGCTGTACTGACAGAAAGTGCCACACTCAGCTGTGAGGTAGCACAGGATGCAACCGAAGTGAAATGGTACAAGGATGGAAAGCTGCTTGTTTCCTCTAGAAAATTCAAAATAGAAACTGTGGGCAATACGCGACGCCTGGTTGTAGAGCAGCTGGAGAAGAAGGATGCTGGAGAATATGTCTGTGAGGCTGCAGGCCAGAAGCTGACCTTCAGGTTGGAACCAACTGGTGAGGACTCTTCTAAGCAACTCTCTGTGATACTGGATATTCCCTACCCAGTGGCCATGGTACAGCCACCATTTAACCTGGAGCAACATCAGAGAACCATATCACACGTTAATTTGACCTTATAAATCTGGCAGTATGCAGGTGGGAAGTCTGGCTGAAGACTCTTCTTTTGCCTATGGAAATGTGACATATTTTTTTTGCTTAGAGTCTCCTTCACACACCCTGATAACCAACCTTTTTAGTTGATGGGGAACCTAAAGTAGAAGTCAGACGTTCTGAAATAGATTGATGGTGAAAGGTGACTAAGAAAAGATGGTCTGCTGCTGTGTGTGCCCCCAAACAACCCAGTTTTGTGGCAAAGCATTGTACAAGATAGACAAGAAGCCAAGAGAAAGGGAACAGAGCAAGCCGAAAATTAAATAAGCTGTAAATTCAGGTTTAGCATATTAATATTTCTTCTTAATTAGGTCTAAAATGCTTAAAATGGGAAAGGAAATAATTACACAGGTCATTTTACCTCTAAGAAACAAGCTTTTTGTGGGCAGGTGATAAAATGTGTATTTTCATTTGCTTTCCTTTGCTTCTTTTCTAAGCAGAAGCTCTGGGTTGCCTGACAGATCTTTTTCTCTCTTCGCACTCAGCAAAAGATTACACCAGCCACAAATATTCAGCCGTATTCCCTGGGATATTACAGATTATGGATGGTCTGGTGTGAGTCATGAAGGGAGACTGATAGAAAATGGCTGTGTTAAGGATTTGAAATTTAAGTAATGAATTTTCATATTTTAATCTCTTTCCTAGAACCAGAGGCTAAATTTGAAAAGAAAGCTGTCCAGAAAGAGCCTCTCATTGTTGAAGAACATGAAAGTATCACGTTGACTACATCAGTAACCCCTGAAACTGCTACAGTGAAGTGGTTCAAGGATGGAACAGAAATCAAGGCAAGCAAGAAACATGAGATCAAGAGCGAGGGGGCATCCAGGACCCTGACGGTGAAGCTGGCCGAGAGCACAGACACTGCTGTGTACACTTGCCAGACAAAGAATGACAAGCAAGAATTCAAAGTACAGGTGAAAGGTGAGCATAGAACAGCACGCAGGTCATGTCCCAACCCAGGAGTTTCACCTCTCATGTGGCAGGATGGAAGGGAAGCCCAAACTCTTTCTAAAACTGTCCCAACTTCAAGGCTTGAATTGCTGTTGCAGCTGCAAACAGCCCTATCATGAGCCAGAAAAGTTCTGCTGCTTCCAAATACCTTTTTTTTGTCTTTTGATGAGTGCTTAGGGGAACAGTGAAGCCTACAATGGGTGCTTCTCCTGGTGTCTGTTCACAGCTCTCTGTCTCCTCCTAACCCCAGTAGCTGAGACAATGCATAGGCTTAGCTCTTCCCACTCTGTTCACCAGCATGACAAAGCTGATGAGGCACTGGAATGGGTTGCCTAGAGATATCGTGGATGTCCCCTCCATGGAAGCATTCAAGGCCAGGCTGGTGAGGTTTCGAGCAACCTAATCTTGTGGGAGATGTCCCTGCCCATGGCAGAGGGCTTGGAACTGGACAATCTTTGAGGTCCCTTCCAACCTAAACCATTCTAGAATTCTGTGATTCGATGTAAAGGGATGTTGTGTGAGGAGAAGATCTGTGAGTTTGTCGCGTAGGGAAACAGGACCCAAATTAGGCCCTGTGTTCATGAGATGGAGCACCTGAGATGCTGCTTCCTAGTCAAGGCTAAGGCTGTAAATTGGCAAGAAGGCTGAACTACTGGTGGTCCACAGAGCGAGATGTCCCAGATCTCAAAGGCTACTTCTTTCTCTCAGAGTCTCACTCTGGAGATTTCTGCAGCTGAGATGCATTCCCTCAGCTCCTTTGGAGTCGTTGCAGAGGAGTGGTTGCTAATAGGTCACGATACAGCCGACCTATTAAAATATCTCCTTCTGGATGAGAGAAATCAAACCCTGGATTTCTCTGACTCCATTGACTGTGTCTCCAGTGTCAGAAGAGACAAAGGTGTTTGGGGCTTATGCATCCATTCAGATTTTCGCACTTAGGCAAAGCAGACTCCGATGTAAAAACGCCACCAGGTAAAAGATTAGAAAGTAACAAAGTAAGAATCATAGAATGGCCTAGGCTGGAA